AGAGAGCAAGGTCCATGCTAAGTAATATTAATTCCGGCAAGGGGACATTGGGCCAATGTCCTCTTGCTGCCAAAAAGAGAGAAATATCCAGCCTGTGACTTCAGCATCTGTACAGGGCCTTAAGCAGTCATTTGTGGTAAAGGCCAGCTCTGACTGTGAATTCTCCAGCTTTTGTCATTTATGTCAGACTTTAAGATTATTGCGTTCAATTCAGAAACGAATAATTAAATAAATTCCATAGAATTTGGTGGTATTTGGGGTCTGACTGACACCCTCTGACTTACATGGACTACCCTGATTTTAGCAACAATTAAAAAGAAAATCAGAGCCTTCCCACCCCCATTGACCTCCTCTTTGATGCAGAGTGAGATTTTTGCAGAGTACTTTTCGTTTGTAAAATCTCACCCTTGGATTGGAGTGTGCTGTCTCCCTGGAGTGCCGTGCCTCTCCTGATAGGGACAGCTGGAGGAGTGTGAGTTGGAGAGGCAAGTGACACTGCCAGTGCAGGTTCATGGAGATTGCATGAACTTTGGTGGGGAGGCAAAAAAAATGCAAGTAGTCAGTCCGCCTTCTGCTCACAGAAAGGGGGAAATTTGTCTGACTAATCTGGAATAATTTTTGAGGGGAAGAGCAGAACATGAAAGCAGGTGAAGCAGTGGACGAGTCACTCACATTTCAAAAAGGCTTTTGACACAATACCACACAGCTCACAGATACAGTAAGTCAACAAGTGTAAAGAAGGTGCAACCTGAGAATGCGCTGGGGACTGGTTAGGGGGAAGTTTGCCATAGGCAAAGTTTACAGGTCAGGCAGGTGGACAATGATAATTATTCATTTTTTGCAGTGTTGTTGTCTGTAACCCATTAACTCTCCTTCCTCCTATGACTGCAGTGCAGAGGTGTTAATTGTCCACTTCATTTTGCATGGCTTCTTGAACATCTGTTAACTCCTTATGCTTAACAATCTGTTCCACTTTGTGTTTAGCTGTGACACTGAGTACCTTTCCCAGACCTGAAAAAGAGTTCTGTGGAGCCTCTTTCACCAATAGAAGTTAGTCCAATAAAAAGTTTTTATTTATTTTGGCACAAGTAAGAACCCAGTTCTCAAATCTGGCTGAGCTACACTCGGAAAAGGACCAGAGAAGGGACAAAGGTTACTTTACTCCAGCTCTGTTACCCTGCAGCTCCTGGGGCCTCAAGGCTATTACTCCCAATTGCCAAAGGCTCCAAGGGGCTGTTCCAGCAGCTGAGGATTGCCAGAGCAAAATTGACACCCTGGCCTCGCCTCCTTTGGCCTGGCCACACCCTGACCCTGGGGTGCAGTGGAAGCGGCACAGAGCTGCCTATGCTGATTATACACAATCTTGTGATTTTACCATGTTGGGGGAATTCTCAGCTAGTCACGCCAGCTTTATGGCCGTTTGCACCACTGGAGTAGTGCAAAGTGGCCCAATGGGCACGGAGGATCAACCACATATTGTGCATGGCACTTTACACACTCATTCATTAGTTTCTGGACCTGATTCTCCTGCACCTTGAACAACTGTGCAAAATGGGCTCGATCATCAGTTGTGCTTGGAGTCTCTTTGGCACTGTTGAGCAGGTAAGGGTAGCTTGCAATTAACTTTATGTTCTCCTGATCCCCGGAGCTATAAGGGGCCAATCTGAAGAAGGAGCGGAGAAGTCTGAGACCTCTGCTGCATTTCTTTGGTGATTAACATAGTGTTACTGTGTCCTGGGTTTTGCTACTGTGAACCTGGCTTAGAAAGACAAACAATTACAGCTGATTAATGTTTATAAAAATGCCATGTAAAATACCACAAAATTACTGCAAGCACAGTAAAAAAGATCACCAGACAACTGTAACATGATGAATTCAATAACATTTGCTCTGAATTTTGTGCTGAAACTGCATTTGCAATGATTCATGACTATGCTTAATTTTGTCATGGAGTATTTTCCCAGAGATTTCACACAGCTAAAGGAAGTATCTTTCCTAGAGCAGGCAGGACATGTAGGTGTTGGTAAAAATAATTGTTCACACTCTGTTCTGTGCACACATGGATAAGCACTCAAATGACTGAAATGAAAAACAATCCAGTCTCCTTTAGGTATATCTCAGCCCTATCACTTTTCTCTTCACTGCATCTTAGTCCCTGTCCATAAAAAGGCTAGTTCTCTCAGATGCCTTGATAACAATATTATTTATATCATGGGCCTTACTGGATCTGGACATTTTTTAATCACTCTAGTATCTACAGCATTGCTCACAAAACTTCAGCCACTGGAATTTTAAATGCCATCTAGAAACAGTGAGGAATTATGTGCAAAAATGCTGGGTGGGGATGCATTATGATAAACCTGTTAATTACATGGTCACATAGTATTTTTTTCCACAGGGCCCCTGCCTCACTATACCGCACAAGCAGTACGCACTGAATAGAATCAATGTTCTGTTTTATTCTCATCCTGGCTCCATGTCATTTTTTACTGCACGTTCTTTGCTGTGAGTACAGAATAATCCATTTCCACTGGGGCTTTTTTATAGAGCACATAACTATCTTTTTATATAGCGCACATAACTGTGAGTGGTTCACAAACATTCCAGAATTTATCTTTACAACAGCTCTGTGAGGAAAACTAATAGTATCCCAGATAGGGAACTGAGGCATGGAAAGATTAAGGTCAAAATTGTCATGTGTCCACTAATTTTGGGTTCCCAGTATGACATGCCTAGGGCCTAGTTTTTCAGAATATTTAACATTTTAATAGCACTTTACATATTCAGAGCAGAACTTCCATTTATTTCGGTTGCAGTTGAAAAAAGCTCAGCACTTCTGCAAATCTGGCCCCAGGTGTCTGCTGTTGGACACTGAGAAAATGAGGAACACACAATTAGTGGCCACCTTTGAAAATTTTGCATTAAGTGACTTGCCCAGCATCATACAGGAACTCTGTGGCAAACACAGGGATAGAATACAGTTCTCCAGGGTGCAATCAACTGCCTTAATCACAAGACCAACGTTTCTCTTCCTGCAGTTCTCTACTGCATTCACTACACACCTTCCAACTTCTTAAGGTTGCACAGGTAACCTTAATTCTGGCATTTTCCAACTTTTCAGAGCTTGATTTTAAAACATTAACATTTCTAAATCCTCTTTTGCCATGTAAGATCATAAGTGTTTCAAAAAGCAAACTGAAAAAATAGAAATTCTATTATGTGAAACCATATTGACCCTCACATGTCTCAACTGATGAGCTAGAACCTTTAGATCCTCAACACTGACTTTTGCTACTTGAGTTAACAAAGAAACCGGTAGGAGTAGTAGGTTATTACTCTATGTGGATCAGTCACTAGAGGGGAAAGAGACAGTTACTTTGCTGCTGAGTTTTACAGGCTATTTGCTGAGAGCAAAAGGAATGTGGAAACCTACGACTCCTTGGTTCTATTTCAGGCTCTGGAGAGGAGTGCACTTCAACAGTGAAAGAAATCTTCCATCCTGTATCCCCCTGAATCTGTTCCCTCTAGTCTTCCTCCCCCAGCTCCTGTCTCATTCTCCCATTGAAGTGGTTTTACAAGAAATTAATTAATTAAATAAATAAAAACAGTCTGAGGAGATACTGGCATGGAAAATTTCCAAAGAGTTACATTTAAAGAGTTAGGCAATCTTAATTGTAGGCATTGCTACCAGTGCAACCTATAACTATCTTTTCCAGGTATTCTTCACAGTGCTAGATAGCAGCCCCTAGTGCATCTCTGCTCCCTCTGCAGCTGTGGAGGTTCTTCAGACATGCTGCAGGCACACCCCCACCATCTCCCAGGCCTGGGAAAGGGGCAGCACCAAAGGCATCCTCCTTTCTCCACTCCCAGCCTAGGTGTTGCAGGGAAGGAGCACATAGCAGGCTGACCCATTTTTCTCAGGAGGGGAAGGGTGAGGAGGGAGCTTCCCTGAGCTGCTGTAAGAAGGAGTACTTGTGGCACCTTGTTCTTTTTGCACCCCACTCCTCTCTGTCAGCCTCTCCCTTGAATCCCTTCCCCTATCCAAAAACTCCTCTTGGTCCCCAAGGGGAGGGGACAGAGTTATGCCTACTCCCTATAGCAGCTCTCATTGGCTGTTCCTACCCAAAAGGCAGGGAAGTGGGGAAGGCAATCAATCAGAGGGGGCTTTCCCCTGGGCAGTCCAAAAATCAAGTGAAGGCTGGAGCTTTTCCAGTCAAAGAAGACTGGCTCCACCAGGGCCCCAAATCCCATTACTAACTATAACATCATAAGATCTGGGAACATTGCAATCCACACCAGCGTTACGACAGAAGTCTAGATGCCTCTTTATAGCTTTCACCACCGCCTAGTTTATACTACCAACTAGGAGCTTTATCTCTATAATAAGAAGCACCTGCTCCACAGCAATTTTGACTTGTCGTCAAATTTATTTCCACTGTAGAAGCAATAACAGAAAAATAACACTTTATTTGCAGAATAAAAGTAATCCTATAGTGGTAAATATATTTACATACACATAACCTATGTAAATCGTTCAACATATATTCCAATTTAACACTCTGATACTGTTTTTGTTTTCCAATGGAGACAGCAAAGGTAAAGGATGAGAGATCTAAAGTCTGGCTCAGTTGGAACATAAACAGGTAAGTATGAATGTTCTCATTTAAAATTTCCTATATTCTTTTTTAATTTAAATGAATGTATTATTTACAAAAAATACTAACAGCCTTAGACATTATTTTTCTATTTGCTTACAGAATATATACCACATAGGCAGCTGCAATGCAAGTTTCTTCACAGTACTTTACCAATGTATCTCAGTCTTGGCCAGGCAGGATTTATATTCATGTATGTGCAGTGTTGTATTAATTTAAATGGAATATATGGACTAAAGGTGTTAACATAACCCAGTCATTGTCCAACACTGGACAATGTTAAACAAGGTCTGGAGCTCTGTATACAGAGACCTCAGCCTGCTTAGCACCATGGAAAACACACCATTAAATATCCTTTTAACCTTTTATTAAAGATACAGAAAAGAAGGAAAAACAGTATTTAAAATGTAAAGTATTCAATAAAGTTTTCATTTTAAAAGCTTTCATTCCTGGTTCCCTTTCCCTTTAGCTGGAGAGAGTTTTTAGAAGGTAAACCCTGCCCCCCCCCCTCCCCGTTTTGTAGATGGTACCAAAGAAGGTAATAACAGTCCTTTTGGGGAAAAGAGAAGAAGTTAGTTGAGATGGGCTGGAGATGTCCTTGCTTTTGTTGTTGTTAAAGTCCAACCTTAGAAGGACAAGCCCCCTTGTTTGACAGTCTCTTAGATGGCAATAACTGTCATCCCAGGTCATATATAGCATTCAGCTAGAGCCACTAGGGGTAGCGATCCTTCTGGGTCCTTCTGTCTGTCTGGCCTGTTCTGACCAGAACATCTCTCAAGATCGGGATGATGAAGGCTGGGACTCCAGGAAATGGTGGAGGTGGCAGCCATGATTGTGAAACTCACTCCAGTAGCTGATGTCTGTTCTTTCCATCTGTTCTTCTCTTTGTTATTTCCTTACTTTCCCTCAAAAATCTCTTTAAGGACCCAAAAAGGGAGTGATGGATGGAATAGCCCATCCTTCCATTATTTTGTCTACCAATTAGACCTAATATCTGATATACCAAGTTTGACTCATTAACTTCCGGCTCCACATCTCCTGTTTTTAACAAGCATAATTTCAACAATTTCTTTGAATCATATCAATGTAGCCTTTTAGTTTAGACTAATTCTGTCTCCCTTTTGTACCCTATTCCCATCAACATTTGTTATTATAGGTTATTGTAACATCTTATGAACTGTTATATACTTTTTAGTTGAGCTCACTATTTGGGTAAATTTGTTGGCCCAATTGAGACTACCAGCAAGTGAGCTAATTGTGGTTTGTTCTTTTGCAACCTGCATAACTGTGGGCTAAGAAATAGACTAAATCTATTAAGTTATTCCACAGAGTCACCCCACAGCAATCAGATGATAATTACTTTCTGCCACTAGGAGTCTCCATTAGATTCAGAATGGTAATCTGGAAGTACAAAACTGCACAGCATTGCTAATTCATTGACCCATCCATCAGTCCAGTTTTTATTTAGATACAGTTGCTATGTGACTGTCTAATACACAGACTCCAACTAGGCAGAATACTACCTTCTCTTTAGCCTTTCTGGCCACTAGAGGGCAGGACAATAAACCCATGTGTATTGAAATTAACTTGCACTTCATTAATTCTCAGAACTTCTTTGCATTTTGAAAACGTGTTTATAAAGAAAATTAAATTAAATGTAATTATCACCTCATGTAGTTTGCTTTGTGTAAAAAATAAATATTTAATGTTTGGGCTATCTTCAGTACCATTTCTTCACAATATATGCAGATTTGACAGTTTCCATACTTTTAAGGTAACACTGTTATAACCGTGGAAAGACACAGCTGTCTTGATCCTTAATGTGCTTGTATGAACAGGACACCAAACTATACAATACAATACTGGATGCAAGAGAACATAACACTTTCTTCTGCTACATTGAAAAGCAGTTTCACACATAAGTTCCATTTATGTAGGCATACTGATTTACCAAACACCATTCCTTTTCATTTTTTATTTTTTTAGTTTAACATCAACATTAAATTTTGGACAGAAGAAATTTAAACCTCTAGGACAGTTTCTGTATTAAGAAAAAACTACTTATATTTGAACATAAAAACACTATTAATGAAACCTTAGCCAAGAAGTTCACTGCAAGTGACCCTCTCGCTGAATTCGAAGGCGTTCTTTCTCCACTTGTAAACGTTCCTTCTCAATCTGCAGCTTCTCAGATTCATATTTTAAAAACTGCAGCCTCTCTTTCTCCAATTGCAAACGTTCCTTTTCGAGTTTTAATTTTTCAGTTTCTAGATCCAGAGGCTGTAAAATGGGTTTTTCCACCTGGGTGATGTCATTTTCCAGGGCAGGTTTTTCAGCACGCAGGGCCTCTAGCCTTAGTTTCTCCCGCTCAATCTGGATCCGCTCCTTCTCCAGTTGAAGTCTCTCATGCTCCAGGCCTACATGCCGTAATCGCTCCTTTTCGATCTGCAGGCGCTCTTTCTCCACTTGTAGTCTTTCAGCTTCAATATCCAGCCGCTGTTTCTCCAGCTCTAGTTTTTGTTTCTCCAGGTTTATGAGCAAATGAGAGTCCTCGTAGGCTAGCCGGGCTTGAGCAGAGCTCAGATTTCCAAACTCTTCAATGTGGGTGAAATCAGGTAGGTCACTTTCCTTTTTGGAATCTGGCAAAACTGATGACAAAATTTCCTCCTCTTCCTCAATAGGAAACTGTTGGGAGGAATGAGAAACATAATTATTTCATGTACCTCTTTATACCATATTGAGCCAGTTACCCCCATGCAACCTCACTGAAAATAGAGCACACTTCTGTTGTTTCTAGTGATATCTCAGAAGTTATTCCAGACATTCATTTCACTTGTTCCCTAGACAATTTGTGTGTTAAACTCAAACCCTGAGTTTTCTGCTGTTACAAAGGCATAGCTTATTTGATTAGCAACAAACTCACATGTGGTCATGAAACACACAAGACAATTTCTTCAGTACACCCCTACTGTAAAGATGCAGAAAAATCGGCTGTTTATTCTGCAAAGCTTTGTTTAAAAACAGTTTGTGGATTTTTAAAAAAAATTTTACTTAGATGATCTAAAAGAATTTTCATATTTACTGCAAGAGAACTAGGGTTAATAAGCAGGCATTATTTTTAGTTTTCATACAGGTTTCATGACAGGCACCTAGGACATTCTAGGAATTTCTTTTGACCAATTATTTAACATATGAATTAGAACTGTAAGCTATTCAGTTATGTAACATAACATTGCTTTAACTAATGCTGTAAAGGTTCCATCACTAAAAACAGTTTGATGTTGTGTTTTATTTGAGATCTGCGGCCTTTTTTCTCACATTTTCCTGTGATGGGGTGTCCACCCTACATAGGAATAGATGGGGTTAAGGTGGCCAGGTAGGCCTATTAACTCCACAGGCTGCACCTAGAGGAAAAGCCAGGGAGCAGGAATTGATTGCAAGCAGGCTCAGTTGGAAAGGAACAGGCAGGGCCTATAAAGCCAGGAAGCTGGCAGCAGACAAGGGCTGCTGGGAAAGGGCAGTCACTCCCTTGAAAGGAGGAGGTGGTTTTGGAACTGGTACACCCAGAGTAAGGAGGGGAACCAGGAGTTGTAGGAATCAGTCCAAGAAGCAGCAGTGAGGGCTGGGAGAGGAAAGCCTAGAACTGCTGGGTGTACGGTCGCTGGATTGAAACCCAGAGTAGTGGGCAGGCCTGGGTTCCCCTACCAGCCACTGAGGGCATTGTATAGACTGGTAGGGCAGTGAATGGGAAGACTGCCTGGGTCACTGTGGGAGTGACAGAGAATTGAAGGACTGTACCCCAGAAGGGGGGAAACAATGAGTGACTTAGCAGGAGGGCTGAGTCATGAAGAGGACGCTGTGGTTCCTGGGAAAAGAGAGGTGCTGCAGACCTGGGAGAGAGACGGTGTTATGGCATGCGATGACGGAAAGGGGCGTAGCCCTTAAGAGCTAATCCAGAGTGACCAGGAGGAGGTGCCAGACAAGCAGTGATCGTGCACCCCGTGACAGTTCCCAGCACTTCAAATTGTGCTAAATGGGGACAAGAACAAGATTTGTTTAACTGATCCTTTAGTTATTTTTATTCTCTCTTTTACACATTCTGGCCCGAAGCCCTGGGTACAGAGGGACCTTGGGTGTAGCAATACTGGCATGGTTCCACAGGCCTGGGGGGACTCTAAAAGTTCATGGAGGGGGTATATACCCGTGTGCTAGAGAACCATGCTACATAAGTGGTCAGTGTGCCCCAGTGAACATGGGGTTTTGGGTTCAGGTGGGGACCAAGTCTGCGAAGGAGCAGCACCAAGGCCAGTGGATCCAGGACAAATGTGGATTTACTGGCTATTCCTCTAGTGCAGAAGGAACTCAGAAACTGTGGGGGTAATTCAGCCTTATTGTTGCAACAGTGGTCACAAAACAGTTCCAATGTCACCCTAGCTTAGGAGAAAAATTCTTTCCCATCCTGCATATCTCCCACACCTCTACTTGGCACCCTTCCTAACTGTTCAAGCCATGCATTGGGTACAGGATTTGCCCATAAATCAAATTTTTTCTCATGGCACCTAAAGTTAAAAAAAGAATAAATCTGCCTCGTTTGGGAACGTAAGGAACAGTATCTCCCCGGACCTGTATTCAACATGACCCTACAAAGCCAATTATTGGAATTCCATCTGATTGACAGTCTCAGAACTGGCAAGATCACTCCCACCCTCCTCCTCTTCTCCCCATGCTACTGCTCTATAGATTTCATTGCTGAATGGTGGGATGCTGCCTATTAGGAGTTTGATACCAGTTGTAAAATCAACCAACCATTTCCCTTTCCCAGTTCATCTCTCCTCTCCAGCAGGATTGTGTTATCATAGGTGACACGAGGACTGCTTTCTCATCCTTGTCTCCAGTTGGAAGTGGTTGGATTGTGAAAGAGATGGGTTACTCCTCCACCTATTCTAGTGTATGTGCAGGGATGTGGATAGGAGAAATACTAAGCTAACTCCTCCTTCAGTCCACATGGATACTGCATCTGTTTGAAATAAATTAAGTCCATGGGAGAAAGGAAAAGGGAAAACAGAGGCATAAATATATTTAGAAGATTACTGAATACATGTATATTTAATAAAAAAACCCCAAGACTGTATGCAGACGTGTAGGTTGCTGGATTTTGAATATCATTCATATAACAACAGAGCTTGTCACAGGGGATTCTCTAATTCACACAATCAGACTGTCTTGGGAAATTATAATATAGAGGAGTACTAGTCACAAGTGTGGAGAAAGTCCCCAAGCTGGAGTGAAGAGAATGGCCATACTGAACACAACTACAGTACACTAACTACTTACTTCAAAATTCTGTGGATCCTCCTCCTCCTCCTCTTCCACCTTGATTTCTGTTAGAGATCCACTGGCTTCTCTGAAGTCTGTGATATTTAGCCATTCAAAACTGTTTTCATTTGTAAATCCCATTTTCTCATCCATCTCTTCATTAACAGAGTCATCTAAATCGGATGATGGAAGGTGAAACCCAGTGCCTACCAGTTTGATGTTTGCATTCAGACGCTTTCTCTTCATGAGTGCTCTCCAATCAAGGTATCGCCTTTTCACTTCTGTCCCTGTTCTTTGCTCTCCTTCACCTACAGCATTCACACACTCTGCTATTTCCTCCCAAGCCTTTCGTTTCATCTCATTAATTGTTGTATTAAGCTGCTTGGAAAAAAGTACCTCTTTCCTTTTTCTAATTTCTTTAAGGAGTGTTTGAGTTTCTTGAACGCTAAAATTGCTTTTTCTTTTTCTTTTTAATTGTTTCATTTTTTCCATCTTTAAATCTAATAATTGTTACTGCAGCTGACTAAAGAGATAATATGAGAGTATTCAGTTTATTTATTTATGCAAATATGATTTAAAAAACAATCACAAAGTGGCCCTCAGTTCTTCAGGTAGTGAGTTTTCTGATTTGCTTGGTCATCTTTCTACTTGCCAGGCTTGTTAAGATCCTAAGGAGGAAAGAACAAATAATATAAATCTCAAAGATATTTAGTGATATTTTCATTTAATGAAACTGACTCCTAAATCAACACTGCTAAAGAATCTATATGCTGAACTGATCATTCTTCTATCTGATAGATTAAATCAATTTTAAAAAAATGTTTGGAATATAGAGTAGCTATAAATAAGCCTCTCTGATCTCACATGAATTTTAAATCCTTCAATTTATATCGGTCTCACACACTGTTCAGATTGAGTTGATATTTCCATTATAAAAATGTGGCTATTTTCCTTTGGCTTTTACAATTTTGCCATTTTAAATTTGCTCCAACCTGAAACTTGACATATAAGTCTCATCTTGAGTTGTCTAAAGTGGCTAAAATTGGTAAGCCATTTCTTCAGAGACGTAAAATATCTGAGTGAGAGACATTTCTCAGATGACTTTAAAAAGTTATTTCTACCTAAAAAACAGTTTCATTTTAAAAGCTGAGGTTTTGGAGGCACTTACTATTTCTGAGCCATTGTATTAACAACAGAACAATTAGAATGGTTCCATTGACACATCGAAAATAGTATTTGCCATTTCAAAAATCTTCTTGAATTAAAATTTTCTTAATACAGAAAATACGTATAGGAAGAAATCCCTATAAACTCAAAGGTACAACCCCCTTCCTTCAACCTTTCCTCCCCTGGGCCTCTGCCACTCTTAGCAGCAATAACCCATGTCAGAATATTGTTAGACTAAAAACAAATCAGAAATTCAGGCAAGCATTGGCTCAAGAGCAATTTTCCCCAGGGCAAACATTCAATTTAGAAATAACTATGTGTCACGGAGTGTGGGGGAGTCCAGGGCCTGCACCCTTCTTCCTGGGATTCACTGAGACACTCAGCCAGCCAGTAAAACAGAAGGTTTATTGGACAACAGGAACACAGTCCAAAACAGAGGTTGTGGGTACAACCAAGACCCCTCAGTCAAGTCCTTCTGGGGGAGCAGGAAGCTTAGACCCCAGCCCTGGGGTTCCCTGCGTCCTTCCCCCAGCACCAAACTGAAACTAAACCCCCCCAGCAGGCTCCCTTCTGCAGCCTGTGTTCACATTCCTGGGCAGAGGTGTTACCTCCTCCTCCTCCTCCCCCTCCTGGCTCAGGTGACAGGCTCTCAGGTCTCCCATCCCCAGGGCACATTCCCAGGTCAACACTCCCCCCTCCCTGCTGCGTCACATCCTCACACTATGGTAACTGTATTTCTTATATAAGTTGTATTTTACTTGTATGATAACAGGATTTTGCTTCTTAAAAACACATCTGCTTATTGTGAATTCCCATTTACAAACATTTCCTCAGCCACTAATTGTGGTTCTGGAAGAAGAATCATAACAGGAGAAATAAGTAACAGGAATTGATGAACTTTCAAAGAAAACTGACACTCTTATTGGCACTCTCTGGTAATAAGAAAGAAGACAAAAGAAAGAAGACTATGTTAATGCAAACTAGATAACTTGTAGATCATGCCTGCAATCTCCACCCCGGAGAGTTAGAACACAACATTCTAGTTCGCGCTGCAATTTACATCATTATAGTCCAAACTATGGGGCTATGTAGACGCAGCTTTAGAACATGACTGATTGTAACTGGTTCACTCACAAACATTTGCACGTCAACAACATCTTTCAGTCCTGGCATTTAAAGATGCTAATACCTCACTGACTACTTTGAAAAACTTTGTATTTAGAAATAATTCTATTTCTCTTTCACAGAAATAAGTAATTCTTTTCTCTTATTAACATATTACCGTATATATTTTCCCCCATTAAGAGTTGATTAATTCTTTGTGTTTTCTCTCCACCAGAAGTCATTATACTTTGCAATATCATGATGGCCATGAATAAAAGATGACTTCTGGTTAGGAATGAAAAGCAGGAACAGATAAAGATGAAACAAATATTTTTTTCAAATATAAGTGTGATTCATGACAGATAACTAAGAAAAAAGACAGAAAATGTACTGTGCAAGGAAAAGAAGGTAAGAAGTGTTTCAAAGCTGTACAAAGCTGTAAGTGGAATATGGATTTTAATAGTAAAATTAACATTAACTAATTCGGGTCATTTGAATCCAGCTGATAGATGTTGATACTTAGAGTAAGGAACAGAAAATGGGTAACTGAGACTGCCTGAACCACAGTGTTTTAGTGACTTCTCATTAGAGCTACAAGAGCCTATCATATGTATGTGTGTGTGTGTGTGTCTATATTTACATATATGCAAATACACTGTCTTTGTCTTATAGAGGAGAATGTATTTGCATAGGAATTAGGAAATGGAAAACAATTTCACAGAGAATAAAGATACATCAGAATGGACAACTGTATAATGGTAATGTGGGTTGCAGTCTTGAGGGTGAGGGTGTACTCCCACACCAGACCTGAGAGAGCTGCATTAGGCCCATCAGGCTCAATCAGCCAAATTAGTGTCAAACGAGAGAGATTTAGGCTGTGTGAAGAGCCCTGATTAGAAAGAAGCTCACCTGTGAGGGAACAGGTGGGGACTTCTATAAAACCAGGAGGCTGGCAATAGAGTAGGGGTGCAGCAGGCAGGAAGCCTGTAGTCTCTCTTCCCAGAGAGAAGGGAGGGATAGGAATCCCTGAGACCTTGTAGGCCTGAGAGAGAGGGGTCTTCTGACTAGGAGGACTGGAGAAAAACAGTAGGAAATAGTCCAGGGGCTAGAGCAGGAACATGGGTGCAGTCACAGACCTTAATCTTTTGCTACAGGGTCCTGCATTGGAACCCTGAGTAGAGGGTGGGCCTGTGTCCCCCTACCAACCACTGCAGAGTGGTACTGCTTGGGGCAGTGAGTTAGAAGACCACCTGGGTCACTGCAGGAGTGACAGGGTCAGGGCAGCAGACATGAGGACTGCTTGATGCTGCTTGAACAGAAAGACTTCTAAAGGGGAATCACAAAGTGAGCGGGTTGGAGGGCTGAGTCACAAAGCAGCTGTGGCCACAACTCTGTGAACAAGAGGTGAGCTGCAGATGCTGGAAGAGAAGGAAGGGGGCACTGAACTGGGCAGAGCTAATCTCTAAAAGTGCCTGAAGTGGGTACGACCAGCCGTGAACAAACCGCTCAATGACAGGCAGCAACACCGTGTTATTACTGTAGATGCAGAGTGAAATAAAATTATATTGGAACATTTTATCTTATCTTTAAGGTTTTTTCCTAACCTTTAGTATTTCACCTCATGAGCCTACCATGAATAGATACTAGTGCTAGAGGGAAGCACTATATTTGGTTTTAACTGGCAGTAAATCAGTGTATTTAGTACCTGCTGTTCCTTCTCCAATCCAAATTACAGTGTAATCACCTCTCCTTTTGGCTTCCAGCAATTGATTTTCATGACCTATTCATCAAACACTATGTTTAGCCTGTGAAAGTTTTGTAATTTAAAAAAAAAATCATCGAGCAACTTAATTATCCAGAAAAGTTGCTGATTAGAACTAAACAGTTCAGTCAACTTCTAGACGTTCAATTGTATCTGTCATCTAGTTGAAAAATGTTAGATTCAGCTGAAATCCTGGGGCCAAGTACTCTTCTATTATACTGGTGTAATTCCACTTAAATCACTGGAATTGGAAAAGTGTATTTTGATTGATGCTGGCCTTGTATCTCTAAGCATTGGCAATAGTTTCCGGTGGGCAGGTTTCTTTATGATTACAAGAACTTTAAGGTTATACAGTTACATCCAGGCTTTAACACCAACTTCAAATTTGAAGAAAACACTTGTTTCTTCTTATGAGAACAAATTCTTTTAGTTTTTTCATTGTGATTTAGAGATAGCAAACGTGACTTGGTCTTTTAGCAAAAAACAAATCCTATTCGTGTGAAATTCTTGAAAACAGCATAGATTTCAAAAGATTTACCTGAATATGACCATACTGGCTAAGACCAATGGTTCATCTAGCCCAGTATTCTGTCTTCTGACAGGTTTCAGAGTAGCAGCCGTGTTAGTCTGTATCCGCAAAAAGAATAGGAGTACTTGTGGCACCTTAGAGACTAACCAATTTATTTGAGCATAAGCTTTCATGAGGGAATGAACAAAACAGGGCAATTTATTGAGTGACCCATCCCCTGTCATCCAGTTCCAGCACCTGGCAGTCAGAGGCTTCGGGATACCCAGAGCAAGGGGTTGCATCTCTGACCATCTTGGCTAAGAGCCACTGGTGAACCTATCCTCCATGAATTTATCTAATTTGTTTTTGAACCCCAATTGCTGGCAACAAGTTACAAAGGCTGGCTGTGCATTGCGTGAAGAACTACTTCCTTATGTTTTTTTTAAACCTGCTGTCTGTTAATTTCATTGGGTGATGCCTGGTTTTTGTGTTATGCGAAGTGGTAAAATACAATTCCTTATTCACTTTCTCCACACCATTCAAGATTTTATATACGTCTATCATATCCTCCCTTAGTTGTCTCTTTTGTAAGATGAAAGAACCACTCTTTTTAATCTCTCCTCATATGGAAGCTGTTCCATACCCCTAATCATTTTAGTTGCCCTTCTCTGTACTACTTTCTCAATTCTAATATAGCCTTTTTGAGATGGGGTGACCAGATCTGCATGCGGTATTAGTTGCTCTTCAAATTCCTTTTTGGCCTGCCTAATTACAATTTTATACTTGACTTGCCAGAGTTTATGCTCCTTTCTGTTTTCCTTAGTAGGAAAGGCCTTCCAATGGACTTCCAATATTAAAATGATGTATTTTTGTCTCTAACCACCTTTTACTCTATTATTTAGCCTTGGTGGCATTTTTTTGGTCCTCTTACTGTTTTGTTGGTGGGAGGGGGAGGGTGTTATTTGTGGTATACATTTAGTTTGAGATGCTATTACGGTGTTTTTAAAAAAGTTTCCATGCCGCTTGCAGGCATTTCACTCTTGTGACTATTCCTTTTAATATCCATTTAACTGGCTCTCTCATTTTTGTTTACTTCTCCTTTTTGAATTTAAATGCTACTGTAGTGGGTTTCTTTGGCATTTTCTCTCCTACAAGGATTTTAAATTTAATTATATTATGGTTATTATCACTGAACAGTTCAGCTAAATTCACCTTTTGAACAAGATCCTGTGCACTACTTAAGACTAAATCAAGAATTGCCTCTCCCTTGTGGGTTCGAGGACTAACTGCTGCAAGAAGCAATCATTAATGATGTCTAGAAATTTTCTCTCTGCATCCCAACCTGAGGTACATACCTAGTCAATATGGGGATAGTTTAAATCCCACATATTATTAGGTTTTCTTTTTTTGTAGCCTGTCTAATCTCCCTGAGCATTTCACAGTTCCATCACCATCATGGTGGTTGGTAGTATATTCCTACTGCTACACACTTATCATTCAAGCATGGAATTTATATCCATAGAGATTCTATGGTACAGTTTTATTCATTTACTATATTTGACTATATGCTTTCTTTCACATATAGTGCTACTCCCCTACTAGCACAACCTACTCTGTCATTCCTAAATATTTTGTACCCTGGAATTACTGTGCCCCATTATCATTGTTACACCAAATTTCTGTGATGCCCATTATATCAATAGCATCATGTAATTCCAGGCACTCAAGTCCACCCATCCTAGTATTTAGACTTCTAGCACTTGTATACAAGCACTTATAAAATTTGTTAATATTTAGTTGTCTGCCTTCATGTGATGTAATTAAGTGGGACTCTTTTTTGTTTGACGGTTTCTCTGAAGTTCCTATCTGTACTCCATAAACGTATATCCTCTCCTTTTTACTAGGATATAGAGCATCCCCTTTTATAAATCCTCCCCTAAAGGATGTTGCTGTCTGAACCATGTACTCCACTGCACCTGTCAGCTTTCCCCTGGCCCTTAGTTTAAACACTCCTGTATGACATTTTAAATTTTACATGCCAGCAATCTGGTTCCATTTTGGATTAGGTGGAGCCCATCCTTCCTGTTTGGGCTCCTCCTTCTCCCAAAGGTTCCCTAGTTCCCAATAAACCTAAATCCCCTTCTGAAAACCATCATCTCATCCACACATTGAGACTGCAGTTTAGGCTTGTCTAACTGGCCCTGCATGTGAATCATAGAATATCAGGGTTGGAAGGGACCTCAGGAGGTCATCTAGTCCAACCCCCTGCTCAAAGCAGGACCAATCCCCAACTAAATCAAAATAACTGGAAATACTTTTGAAAATGCTATTATAAAGGTCCTGGGCTTTAATCTCTTACCTACCACCCTAAATATGGCCTTTGAGAGCGCTCTCTGACTTTTCCCTATGTCATTGGTACCTACATGTACCACAACCACCTGCTCCTCCCCAGCGCTGCACATAAGTCTATCTAGACGTCTTGAGAGGTACACCATGTCAGACAATTCACCATGTGGTTCTCCTGGTAATCAAATCCAACTATCAATATTTCTAATAATGGAATCCCCCATTATTATTACCTCTCCTCCTAATAACAGGGGTCCCATTCCCCAGAGGGGTATCTGCACTGATGATACCGGGACATCATCTGGAAGGAGGGTCCTAACTATAGGATTGTTTTTCTCTGCTTCAGTTTGATGTTCTCCTTCCCGGAGGCTCTCATCCTCCTCAACAGCACAAAGGCTGTCAGACTTGTGCTGGGACCACTCTACTGTGTCCTGGTAAGTCTCCTCTATGTATTTCTCTGTCTCCCTTAGCTCCTCCAGTTCAGCCACTCTGGTCTCAAGAACTCATACTCAGTCCCTGAGGGCCACGAGTTGATTGCACTGAATGCACACATGCCACCTGCCCACAAGGCAGGTAATCATACAAGATGCATTCAGTGCAATAAACTGGATAGCCCCCACTCTGCTGCTGGATTTCTGCCTTTATTTTTACTCTTGCAGAGGGTCTGTTTGTTTGTTCTTTCGGGGCCTTATTGGCCTAAGTTTAGATAATATTTGTTAGTTGTATCTGGCTCTCATGTTCCTTCTCTAAATTTCCTCACAAAACTCCATTTGCTAGCTCCTCTGCTTACTTAGGAGCTGGATTTTTAAACCCCAGTTCTCCCTAGTTAACCCTGCCCCCTTGTCAAGGGATCCTATAGGAAAGGCTACATTTTAGTCATGGGTATTTTTAGTACAAGTCATGGACAGGTCACGGGCAGTAAACAAAAGTTCATGGCCCATGACCTATCCATGTCTTGTACTATATACCCCTAACTAAAACTTGGGCAGGGGGATGCTCTGGGAAGGCGGGCCGGGGTGCTCAGGCAGGGCAGTCCAGGGGGGCACTGCAGGTGCTGGGGTGGGCGGCAGCACGCAGCCCAGGTCCCCTGCTGGTGCTGGGGTGGGAGGGTTGGCAGGGCTGGCAGGCTCCCTACCCAGCTCTGTGCAGCTCCCCGGAAGCGGCCAGCATGTCTCTGCAGATCCTGGGGAAAGGAAAGGCCAGGGGGGCGCCGGGTGCTCCCCCACCACAAGCGCTGTCTCCGCAGCTCTCATTGGCTGGGAATTGCAGCCAGTGGGAGCTGCGGGGGCAGTGCCTGCAAGCAGGGGCAGCGCGCAGAGCCCCATGGCCCCTCCAACCTAGGGGCTGCAAAGACATGCCAGCCGCTTCCGGGGAGCCGCCCTCGAGGTAAGCACCACCACACACACCAAACCCGTGCCCCAGCCCTGAGCCCCCTCCCACAACCAAACTACTACTGATGCTGCTGGGGGTGAGGGGAAGGTGGCCAAAGACTGCCCCAGCAGTGGCCGGAGCGGAGCCAGCCGAACCACCCACTGCAGAAGTTACAGAGGTTACGGTATCTGTGATTTCTGTGACCCCTGTGACAGACATGCAGCCTTACCTATTGGGATTAGGAAAGAAAAATGGCAGGCTAGAGTCTCATTAGGAAGCTCTCTACCTTGCCTATCAGGCCACTAGGCTCAGCACAAAGCCCCCTGAACAGACCACACTATAAACCATATAAGAATAACAATTATGGTATTCCAGACTTACAATCTTTATTAAGGGCTAGATCCTGCAAACTGCTGAGTCCTCTGTCCCTGATCTAGCAAAGCAATTAAGCACATGAGTAGTCTTGCTGAAGTCAAAAAACTACTGTGTCTGAAGTTAACCATGTACTTAAGTGCTTTGCTGGATCAAAGATCGATGGTACATAAAGATGCAGCTAGACAGTTTCCTTACTAACTTCCCAATTCCAGCTATTCCTTTCCTGGACAGGGTTTTCCTTTTTGTACAGACTTTTTTCCCAGCATGCCTTTCTGGGGTTAGCCCTTTATATTTGGCAGAGCCAAACAGCTGCAAGCCTAAAGACATTTAAAAATTAGTAGCTGCTGGTTGCAGCTCCCTCTCTTCTAACTGGTAAGTATATGTTACCTTTTCCCCTAGTTTTGCATTTCATATTGCTGAGGAGATGGTATATTTTCACAAGAACTATTTTCTTTATTAATAACTTGTCCTAATCTTGTTAATTTACAGAGTGTATCTGAAGGATTTGACTGATCTAACTTTTCATTAATTCCACTGTCATATAACATCACTCTGGATTTCATACACTAATCATAGTGCTTGAAACTATAATGGTGTTCTCAAAGTTCTGGTTTTTTGTGATAGTTGTTGCCCTACAGAAAAGCACTTTATTGAGCACACAAAACTATCTGCATAAAGTATTTAAGAGACAAAAATGGTGGTCCACCAGAAAATGTCCATAGTCTAGCTAGATGTAGAGAAAACATAACCACCATATTTCAAAATGTATTTTACAAAAGCTGCTGACTGGTACAGTACGTGTAAGAATTTTGCTTTCATGGAAGAAGTGGGTTGGCTGTGGCAGGATGTGCATATTTACAGTTACTGCCAGTCATGAGTTCAACACCTCAGAGGTCATCAATGGTTTTGAAGGAGGACTCTAAAGTAAGGCAATGACACTTGCTGAATGCACCAAGTTGGGAAGAAGGGAAGCTCATTCAAAAGAAAGCTGCTGGGGCTGATTAGAGAAATGATAAAGGATTTGTGATGGCTGAAGTAGACAAATATGACAGAATGATATAACACAAGAGTGCATGAAAAGAAAAGAAATTCAAAGCATTTCACAGGAGAAAGATCTGTATTTTGTGTCCATGTGCTTACGTGGTGCCTAGCACCATATTATAAGTGCCTATAGGGGCTCCAACTCTCACTCTTATGCAGCATTCCCAATCCCAAGCTGTCAAGGTTCCTCCCCCACTCTGAACTCTAGGGTACAGATGTGGGGACCTGCATGAAAAACCTCCTAAGCTTATCTTTACCAGCTTAGGTCAAAACTTCCCCAAGGTACAAAATATTCCACCCGTTGTCCTTGGACTGGCTGCTACCACCACCAAACTAATACTGGTTACTGGGGAAGAGCTGTTTGGACGCGTCTTTCCCCCCAAAATACTTCCCAAAACCTTGCACCCCACTTCCTGGACAAGGTTTGGTAAAAAGCCTCACCAATTTGCCTAGGTGACTACAGACCCAGACCCTTGGATCTTAAGAACAATGAACAATCCTCCCAACACTTGCACCCCCCCCTTTCCTGGGAAATGTTGGATAAAAAGCCTCACCAATTTGCATAGGTGACCACAGACCCAAACCCTTGGATCTGAGAACAATGAAAAAGCATTCAGTTTTCTTACAAGAAGACTTTTAATAAAAATAGAAGTAAATAGAAATAAAGAGATCCCCCCTGTAAAATCAGGATGGTAGATATCTTACAAGGTAATTAGATTCAAAAACATAGAGAACCCCTCTAGGCAAAACCTTAAGTTACAAAAAAGATACACAGACAGAAATAGTTATTCTATTCAGCACAATTCTTTTCTCAGCCATTTAAAGAAATCATAATCTAACACATACCTAGCTAGATTACTTACTAAAAGTTCTAAGACTCCATTCCTGGTCTATCCCCGGTAAAGACCAGCATATAGACAGACACACAGACCCTTTGTTTCTCTCCCTCCTCCCAGCTTTTGAAAGTATCTTGTCTCCTCATTGGTCATTTTGGTCAGGTGCCAGCGAGGTTACCTTTAGCTTCTTAACCCTTTACAGGTGAGAGGAGCTTTCCCCTGGCCAGGAAGGATTTCAAAGGGGTTTACCCTTCCCTTTATATTTATGACACAAGCATTCAAAAATCATGGGTTAGGCCCCCCCAAATCATGAGTTGGCTTAAAATTAAATTTAAAAAATAATGCATTTGGAGTTCTATCTATTTGCCTTCTGGCTTTTGAAATTTTAGGGTTCATGATTTTCAATCTCTACAACCATAAGGAGTAGAAACTTATTTTTTTTTAAATAAAAGTTGAGATTTTGGAGTAATATCATGAAGTTAGGATTTTAAGGAAAAAAATCAAATATCCTAAGCCTCATGATAAAATCGTGAGAGACCGCAACACTGCCTTTGGAACAAACTATTGTTTGTTTTATAGTAACAGCTAGAGGCCCTGCTCAGGGAAGATCACGATCAGGCTGAAACGGTCATTGTGGACGTATGTAAAGGAAAGGCAATCCCTGCTCCACGGAGTTTAATTTTGGCATGAGACAAGTAATGGAGAGAACAATCGCAATTTGGCAGGAAGAACAAGCTAGTGAAGAACGAGCAAAGCAGCAGGAGCAGAGCTGAGGACATGGCCAGCCAGCCTGCTTCCCACGAGACGGATTCACCGGCCAGAATCCGCCCCGCGCGGGGCTGCAGCCAGTGCTGTACGAGGAAGGGAGCAGGACTGCTCCGCAGCCGGAAGGGGAAGGAGAGAGTTTCTCCTGCCAACAGAGCGAGGCTGCGTGGGGCAGGCCGGATTATGGCTCACAGATGGGAAGGGAGACCCCGGCCGGCTCCAGCCCAGTCCTGGGTTAAGTGAGCCAAGCGGTGGGGGCGGGGGTACCTCCAGAGAGGAGCCCCCGGCCCCTGTAGGGGGCTGTGTCCCCCCGCGCAAGTGGGGCTGAGTTAACGGGGGGAGCAGACGCGAATGGACCCCTCAGCCCCACCAGGGGCGCTGGAGTTACCGGGGGTGGGGGGCTGGACCCCTCTCACCTCCACGCGGGACCTGGGCGGGGGTGAGTGCGCTACAAAGAGGCAAAGGCTGTTAAGGCCCCCGGGCAGCGGAACCTGCGGGGGAAGGGGGGCCCTCCTGTCCCGCGCCGCGTCAGTGAGGGGAGCCGCCCGCCGCCCCAGCCCGACCCTGGAGTCCCCAGGGAGCAGCGCGAACTACTCACCGGCGCCCAGCACTCCCCTTCGGTCGGCTCACCGGCCCTTTAACAGCCCCCCGTCTCCCATTGGAGAACCCGTGGCGGCGGGTGAACCGCCCGCTGGGGGAGGCTGGCCCCCGCCCAAGGCCCCGCCCCCGGCGGAATCTCCTCGCCCCTGGCGGGCGACGCGCCCAGGGGCGCCCTCGGGGCGGCGGGTCAGCGGCGCGTGCCCCCCCCCCTTTCCCGCCCCTGCGGGTGGACGAGCCAGCGGCGCGCGGCTCCTTGCCCGCGGCCCCGAGCGCAGAGCAAGCGGGCGGCGCGAGGCCCCGCGCCGCCCCCGAACTTGAGGGCGGGGTGGGGGTGCGCCCCTCCAGCCCGTTCAAGCAGAGGGCGGGCGGCCCCAGCGCCCCAGATGGAGTACCAGAAACTCCGCCCTAGGCACTTGCTACTTAGGGTGTGCTGAGCATGCTCACAAACTGAGCATGTTCAGTGACAGCTGCTGAAGCCGCTGCCCTTCGCGCTGCTTTTACTTGGCATAAGATTCTGCGAGTGCTTTTTCCAGTGGTTAAAAAGGGGCAAATCAGAGGAGAGAGGTGGCCGGGGTCTGATCAGTGGCTGGAAATTGACTGGTGGGGGGGATCAAGCAGCTGGAGGCAGAGTTAGGATAGGGGCAGAAGGGCAAAATCAGGGATGGGGCGGGGGGAAAGAGCTGGAGGTAAGCTCCGGGTGAGGCACTGCCAGAGGGTGACAGAGGACAAAACCCTGGCACAGGCAGGGGCAGAGGGGGTAACGGTTACCCCGATGGACTGAGACACCAGTGTTTGCAAAAATATGGGGGGGGGGGCAGAGAGGCTTTTTTATTTCCCCTCTCACAGACAGTACCTCTCAGCATAGGCTTCCCATGCTGGGTTCCTAAAGGCACAGATATCCCAATGCCTAGTCACTGCACCTCCTCTTTGTTTGATGTAACCTACTGAGGTGCTGCAGGAGACTTAATTCAGTGACAGCAAGGACTTCCCTATACCCCCCCCCCCGAATTTCCCCAACATTCCCCCCTGGTCAACTGGTTACATGCAGTGTTGCCAATTTAGTGGTTGGTTGGAAATGTGAATTGAAACATTAATACACACTTTAAAAGCATATATAGTGTATGATAAAACACTTGTACCTGAAAAAGTATAATAAGTTTGAAAAGTATGAACAAAGACTAGCTTCCTCGAACAGCTGTTGTTTTTTCTGACAATGTTGGCGCATTCATTTTGGCAATGTTGGCCAACCTTATAATTTAAAATTACGATTTGTAAGCAAGGTCTGAATGAGCTCTCCTCTGACAGCTAGTGATGACCCAGGGGGTGGGGGAAGGCTTCAGGACCAGACTATATTTACATGAACTCACCTACTCTACCTAGATATCCAGCAGCCAGAGCTGTGTTGCCCAAATGATCAATTTTGGCTGGTGTTGGAAGTTTTTGTACTAAACATTTTTATTATATTATAGTTAATTTTACATAAGAATGGCTGGGTCTGACCAATGGTCCATCTAGCCCAGTACTCTGTCTTCTGACAGGTTTAAGAGTAGCAGCCGTGTTAGTCTGTATTCGCAAAAAGAAAAGGAGTATTTGTGGCACCTTAGAGACTAACAAATTTATTTGAGCATAAGCACGAAAGCTTATGCTCAAATAAATTTGTTAGTCTCTAAGGTGCCACAAGTACTCCTTTTCTTTTTGTCTTCTGACAGTGGCCAATGGCCAGGTGCTTCAAAGGGAATTAACAGAACAGAGCAATTATTGAGTGATCCACCCTCTGTCATCCACTCCCAGCTTCTGGCAAACAGGCTCTCAGAGCATGGTGTTGCATCCCTGCCCATCCTGGCTAATAGCCATTGATGGACATATCCTCCATGAACTTATCTAGTTCTTTTTGAATCCTGTTCCAGTTTTGGTTTTCACAATATCCCCTGGCAAAGAGTTCCATGGGTTGACTGTGTGTTGTGTGAAGAAGTACTTCCTTTTGTTTGTTTTAAACCTGCTGCCTATTGATTTCATTGAGTGACCCCCAGTTCTTGTGTTATGTAAGGAAGCTTATGCACTTTCTGCACACCAGTCAAGATTTTATAGGCCTCTATCATATCCCCCCTTAGTCGACTCTTTTCCAAGCCAGAAAGTCCCAGTCTTTTTAATCTCTCTTCATATGGAAGCTGTTCCAGGCGCCTAATCATTTTAGTTGCCCTTCTGTGTACCTTTCGAACTCCAATATATCTTTTTTGAGATAGGGTGATCAGAACTGCCCACAGTATTTAAGATGTGAGAATACCATAGATTTAAAAGTGGAGGAACTTGGTTTGCCAGACTGATCAGCAAAGCCAATGCTGACAAACTATGTGAAAAGGCTGAAAAACACCAATCCTCTGGACTGTATCGACATGCAGAAAGCCTTATAAGTCAGTCAATGTCAAAGCCAATTTTAGAAGTACTTAATGAGGCTGTTAAGAATGCTGGAGACACAACACAGTTTATGTGAACAAACATGGCTGTCACATCATAATTTCTCTTTTTAAGCAAGAGATACCACACACTACAAACTGGAGGCCAATGTAAAGTTCATTGTAATTTGTTAATCCTGAAGTTGGACACTGGTTCCGACCAAGACCAGCAAATGCTCACTATCTTTCTGCAAGAAACTCAACTGACTGGTTAGAAGCATGCAGTGCAACAGTGAAAGTCTCAGCATTGAAAAAGTGACAAACTCTCTCACCACATTCAGAAAATGTGCATACATGGCTGATGAACACACCGATGCAAATGGGTGTCAAGTATTAGGTCACTGCGTATGTTATCTTGATATCAGTGGTAGGCCAGCAGATGAATTTCTAGATGTTCAGGTTATAGAAGACACATCGACGGCATCTCTGACAACCCACATCTTAGAAGAGTTAAATGCTTGTAAATTGAATCCCAAAGAGATGGCTATTTGTGCATTTGATGGACCGGCAAACTTCTCCGGAAGACATAGTGGAGAACAAGCTTTACTCAGAGAAAAGTGTAACTCTAATCTCTCCAATACACACTTCAGAGGCCATCTACTTCAGCTATAAATTTTATGTCTTCATTATACTCTTTTTTTCAGCAAGAGTCCAAAAGGACAGAGCATCTTGGAAGATACACTGTGACTGAAGTTCAAATTAATCCAATCTGGGAAAACCCACTGGCTTTCTCAGGAGCGATCCTTGGCTGTTGTCTTAAAATTACTGCAACCATTATTATTGGGTTTGGAAAATATCTACTGAGATATCTACAATATCTAAGTAGTGAGGCTGGTGGACTACTTTTGCTACTAAGTTCAGAGAAGACAATTGCCATTCTCTCTTGTAAATCTGTTGTTGAAAACACTTGGGTCACTAAACCATGCCATCCATGCATCTGCTACAACAATAGTAGATATCTCTCCAGCAATGAAAGCTACACTTGGATCAATCAGAGAGATATCCATTGAAAATGTACTGAACGAAGCAAAGACTTCAGTTCAGAAGTTGACTAATTCGGGCACTTATATTAACTCCTTAAATGAAGAGGACAAGAAGTGTTTGTTAAGCCAGCTGAAAAAGTGAAGTACACAGACTTGATTCTTACATCTCTACAACACCAACTTCTGGATTCTGTTAATCTCTGCATAGCTTTTACAGATGCCTGTCTTATAAAACACCAGCAGTTGAGTGGAGTGAGGCAATACCTGCAATGGGGCTGCCATGTGCTCAGGACAGAATAGAGAATTTGAACACAGAGTGGAATATCATATGATGATTGAATTAAGATTTGATTTCAACTTCTTTATCATTACTAGTGATAATGCACTGTGTGGATTATCACACAGTGATAATTTTTGTGCTGTTTCCTGGGGTGAGAGAAGTAGGAATTCATCTCTATCTACTCCCAGTCACAATAGCTACTTTTGGGCATTCTTTTTCCTCATTGAATAGAATTTTGTGTTCTGAAAGAAGTCGCCTTCTGCCTGATCATGAGCATATCATGAAGGACTGGAAGTACTGGACACATGAGAAGCCACCAAAAATGAATGCACTGCATTCGAGAGGTTCATTAACAGAGTTGTGCAAAATTACAAGAAGAAACCAAGAAGGATGTCGATATAGTGCTTCATAGTAGGCTTGTTTAGCCAACTTTAATTTGTGTGACTATTTAAAAACATGAGTTAAATCTAATAATGGTCTCACCCCTCATGAGTCCTCAGCCCTCCTCTTCTTCCCCGCCCCCAGGAGGAGAAGGTGATACATCTTCAAGCAATGGTAGTAGGAGGGGTGTTTGTGCTGGTGGAAGCCAGGGGAAGCCCTGGGGCCACCAGGAGCACTGGGGACTGAGGGTTGCCCTCACCAGTACAGAATAGGTGTAGCAGCATATAGTCCACACAGTGCATGGCTTCTCTGGGGTGCTCAGTATAGCTGCCAGTGCCTTCTGCCCCTCCCCGTTTGTAAATATTTAGGCAGTAGCAACATTATGGCTTCCACATGCAAGGTAGTGTTTTGGGGAGGGAAAAGACTTCTTTGCCTTCTTTCACTTCCACCACCACTAATGCCTCTGTGTGATGGCAGCCATTTCTGATGCAGTAATAAATAGATAGGAACTGATTCTGCCAGGAAAAATTTCAGGTGAGCACAGATGGCCCTCAGTAAGGGAAATAGGAAATCCAAAATACTTCTCTCTCCTTTCTACCCCGCCCCCCAAAACTAAAATATACCTGCATGGAGACAAACCCATCTGGCTCATCTTTACCCTACAGACTTCAAAATCTCTTTCTGAACAAGCCCTTTCATCTCCAATGAGATATTACCCAAGAAGCTTGCTTGGAATCTATGCTCCCTTTGATCAGAAACCTTTCTCAGTCAAGGCAACAGGGCAAGTTTATTTCTGCCTGTGCCTGCCTGATGAGTTGATGATCTGTAATGGACAGAGGTTGCACTAGCATAGAAGAATACTGAAGGCAAGCCCTAAGGAAATTAAGAGTTTAAG